CTAATGATCTCCTTTCCAGGTCTGCTTGCTCGCGCCTGGGCGTACTGAGATTCACAGGTGAAGTCAACGAAGACGTCTTCGGAGAGGCAGGTCTCCTGAAGACAGCACCGGTCAGCATTCAGCTCCGTGAAGATGCTGTTCCATTCGCCCTTGCCACTGCAAGAAATATCCCGCTGCCACTGATGAAGCCGGTGGAAGAGGAGCTGAAGAAGATGGAGCATCACGGCATCATCACGTCGGAGACCGAGCCAACGGACTGGGTCTCTGCGCTGGTCCCCGTCCCGAAGCCCGAAGAGCAGCGGTGTCCGCATCACGGTTGACTACAAGAGACTCAACCAGTCTGTGAAGCGACGGTGTTCCCGATCCCTACTCTGGAGCAGCTGACCTCCCAAGCTGAGTGGCGCGACGCTCTTCACCAAGCTGGACGCCTCTTCCGGTTTCTACCAGATCCCGCTGGACGAGGCGAGCTCCAAGATGACTACGTTCATCACTCCGTTCGGCAGGAAGAGGTTCCTGCGACTGCCGATGGGGATCTCTCTCGCACCGGAGTGCTTCCAGCGGAAGATGGAGGAGATGCTGGACGGACTGCCCGGAGTCATCGTCTACATGGACGACACCGTGGTGTTCGGAGATGCTGCCAGCCACGATGCACGTCTCGAGGCCGTCATCAGGAGGATCCACGAGTCTGGCCTCAAGCTGAACAGGAAAAAGTGTGAGTTCCGGAAGAACGAGGGTCAAGTTTTTGGGGATGAAGATCAGCAAAGAACGGCATCAGCATGGACGAAGAGAAGCTCGAAGCGATCCAGCAGCTCCAACCACCAAAGAATGTCAATGAACTAAGGTCTCTGCTCGGAGTAATCAACTTCCTGGGCCGGTTCGTTCCACACATCCAGGAGTGTTTAAGACCACTGAACGAGCTTCTGAGGAAGAAACGTAGCATGGATCTGGACACCACAGCAGCAGCAGGCGCTGGATGACGTGAAAGCAGCCCGTCACTTCAGCTCCAGCTCTGGCGTTCTACGATCCAGCACGAGAGACGGTGGTCAGCGCCGACGCCAGCAGTTTCGGCATCGGAGGATGTGTTCTCCAAAGCACGGCTCCGTCTTCAAACCCGTCGCGTTTCTGCAGCAGAAGCCTGACTGACCCAGAGACCAGATGGGCCCAGATTGAGAAGGAACTACTCTCCGCGACGTGGACGTGCGAGAAAATGCACATGTTCCTGTCCGGACTGCCGTCGTTCGAGCTGCATCTGTACCACAAGCCTCTGATCCCGCTGGGTTAACACGAAAAATCTCGTGGATGCGCCCATCAGATGCCAGCGCATGCTCATGCGCTTGATGCGATACAACCCCACAGCGGTCTTCGTTCCAGGAAAGCAGCACCTGGTGCCCGACTTCCTCTCACGTCACCCGCTCCAGAAGCAGGATGAAATCAGCGCTGTGCTTCAAGAAGACATACATGGATTCTGTGAGAGAATCTTCAGCGATCTTCCCGCCACACCGCAGCGTCTGGTGGAGATCAGCAAGGCGCAGCAAGCAGACGAACCCCTACAACGCGTAGTTCAGCAGACTCTCTCTGGCTGGAAGGAGGGAGCGAAGCATCCCGACCTGCTGGACTACTTCGCCTCTCGGGGAGAGATGAGCGTTCTGTACCTAACGTGTGGTACACTGCTGATGCACGGGCGACGCATCGTCATCCCTCCGAGTCTGCGAGATGAAATGCTCACCCGACTACATGATGACGGACACTTCGGTCTGAACAAGTGTCGCCAGAGGGCAGCAGAATCGATCTGGTGGCCTCAACTCAGCATCGACCTGAAGCGTCATCTCGAGAGCTGCTCGTTCTGTCAGGTGAACGCGCCAGCCCAGCACGCTGAGCCACTGGTGACAACCCCAACGCCATCAAGACCGTGGACGCACGTTGCAGCAGACGTCTTCCACTTCAACAACTGCAACTGGCTCGTCACGGTGGACATCTTCAGCAGGTATCTGGAGATACAACGCCTCCCGAGTCTCACCAGCAGCGCAGTCATCGAGCGTCTGAAGCGCCTGTTTTCCCGCTTGGGGATACCAGACCTCGTGACAACAGACGGAGGAACGCAGTTCACTTCAAGCTCGTTCGCCAACTTCACAGCGTCCTACGGCTTTACAAACCGCATCACAGACCCGCACACGCCGTCTTCCAACGGAGCAGCTGAACGGGCCGTGAGAACCGCCAAGTGGATACATTCGCCAGAGGGACCCCCACCTCGCCCTCCTCAACTACCGCACGACGCCTGTGGAAGCAACCGGATACTCCCCAGCCCGTCTCCTGATGGGACGCGAACTTCAATCTCGTCTCCCCATCGCTCAGCCAACCGGAGAAGCGACATGGCAACATGCCAAACTCCGAGATCGGCAGAGGAAGAAGAAGCTGGAGACATGCTTCAACCGGAGACACGGTGCCCGCGATCTTCAGCAGCTACAGCCCGGGGATCATGTTCGGATCAAGACGGAGAAGGAAGCAAGCTGGTCCGAGCCCGCCACCGTCATAGAGAAGCTCTCTAGACGCAGCTACCTTGTGGAGCTCAAGGGTGCTCGCTATCGTCGCAACCGACGTCATCTGATGCAGATCCCTCCGTTTCAGGTGTTGACACAGCACGGTTCCGCGCGGCGTGCTGACTGTTCTGCACACAGGGTGCCCGCTCCAGACCTCCTCTCTGGCCGCCATGCTGAGGTGGCGCCACCGGTGCTGCTGCAACCGCAGCCGCGCGAACCGGCGCCTGCACCACGATCGGTAGTGCCACGGCCACCACCAGCTGTGCCGTCGCCCGCGTCGGAAGCGGCGCCGCCGCCGTCGCTGCCGCCGCTGACAGAAGCTGCGGCCCAGCCCTGCAACACGCAAGCGCCCCAGACACAAGACCCAACGCCACTGCTTAGTTTTAGTCCGCGTAAAACACGCAGTGGCCGCGTTTTCTGAGAGGCATCAAAGAGAAGCAGCAGAGAAGCAGCAGGAAAGCAGATGGGAAGCAGCAGGAAAGCAACAGAGGAGAAGCAGTCTGAGAAGCAGAAGGGAAGCAGCAGCCTCAGAAGCAGCATAGCAGCAGCAGGGAAGCAGCAGGGAAGCAGCAGTCTGTCGCCAATAATTTCGTTTCGCAAGCGTTTTTTTTTATATATTATACATTTATTTGCATTTCCTCAAGGGGGGGAGATGTATCATGATGTTACTGGCGTACCCCTGAGACCGCCCCTGCTCGCGCCGCCAGTGCTGCTGCACTTTGGTACGCCGCGGCCCCGAATGGCGGTGTACTGCCTGGGGCGCCACCCGCCGGAGTCGGCGCCGCCCGCTCGCTTCGCGGGATAATACAGTTGCCGTTTAGCAGCGCTCGTGTCTGGTCTGGGCAGACAACACGTAGACTTGAATATTCTCATGCATGATTTGTCCTCGCCTACGGCATAACATAATTCCCGTCGGGTCTGCGCCGCCTGTTTCGTCTGCTTCTTTATATTTGTTCCCTCTTCCTAGCTGGGAGCGCCGCGATTTGATTTTAGTTCTCTGGCGTTAGCGTACGGTTTATTGCGCGACTGGGATGGAGGGAGGAGCACTTCTGGTTACCTGTTCTTGGGTAACGGCGCAGAAATGTTTGAAGTAATTTAAACTGCTACGCACCGTGTTTAATGCCAAATTGCTGTGTAAAGCTGGTTGACCACTTCCACTGCGTGATGATCTAAAACCAGGCTAGCGTGTCCGGCGTGTAAAGTAATCAGGCAATTAGCATGGAGTAACTCAATTATGCACACTGATCTCATTTGGTTTAACATTTATAGGCGTGCCATACACACAAGTTCAAATGTTAATTGTGATGCACAAATTTTTAACTTCACAGCTCCCTGCATCATTCGATTTAATTTACAATCTCTACGAATCCATTGACATGGGAATGAGGCGAGCAAAACATTTAGGCCAACCTTTCTCTTATCGTAATTATGGACTATTTACAGCATCTTGCCTTAGCCCTAAGCTGTGGAACGACATTATGGTTTCATGTTTTCCAAGAATAGCTGATATCCCTGCATCAAAAACCATCGTTAAGAACATCATCCGCAAGCATTTCGTGAACACGTATTAACGTAACCAACATATTTGAAGACATTGCCATCCTTGTGCTGTACATATCCAACGCACTTCATATTTGACCTCCTTCATGTTTCATAATCAATTTCTGATATAAAATCATGCACATGTACCCCAATTCACGGCGCTGGCTGCGGGAGTTCTCCCAGCAACAAGCTCTGCTTAGCTGGGTGGACTCCCTGGACATCCAGCTCAAAACCCAGCACAAAAATGACCAGGTAATTGCCCCCTCCGACTTGTGTGACTGTATAGCCCTTACTAACACGGTGAATTGGGTGGTTGTAGATTATTGGGCGGTTATAGCGGGCTGTCATTAGCTGGCTTTAGCTAATGACTACTTTAAGCCTTTTCATCTATGATTTTTCCCTACCTATCACATAACACAATTCCTCCGGGTCTGCTCCACCTTTTCGCCTGTTTTTTACGTTTGTTTCATCTTCCCAGCTGGGAGTGCCGCGACTTGATTTTATGTTTTCTGGTGTTAACGTACGGTTTACTGCGACGCTGGGATTGAGGGACGGGCACTCCTGGTTACCTGTTCTTGGGTAACGGCGTAGAAAAACAAAACAAGCATGTAATCTTCCCTTCCTGATGTGCTTTGGCCAGGTCGCTCCGCCGTGAACGCCAAACTTTAACGGTTCCGCACAGCCTATCAGTGTGGCGGTGGGGAGCAGGTGAGGAATGTCACTGAACCACAAGTATTGGTGGAGATCGTTGGTGTATCTTGGAGTTTTGCAGTGACGGCTGGCGTGGCGTGCCGGCCGAAGAACATTGGGGACGTTCTTCGCCAATGGTCCTGTGCAAGTCTCACTGCCGGTGTATTTCGTATCTAGAACAACCCAACGCACAGCTGCAGGGCGTCATGACGGTCACCCGCAATGGTCCCACGCGCATCGGCTCCCCCAGTCTGCGGCGTGATCGGACTGCTAGGTCGCTGCTCATCACCGGCTACGGCAGGCGCACGAGCACGCGGCAGGGCCCGCCACTGCCGCCGCCAATCTTCATCGGCAAGGCCATGATCCTGCGGCAGAAAGTGATACTCAGGGGTTTGCCACGTATTTGGGGGTAATCGAACAAAAGGTAAAAAGCCAAGAGGCAAAAAGGCAAAAGCATGATGGCAAAAAGGCAATTGGCAAAAAGTGAAAACTTATAAAAGTGAAATGGCTAAGGTCGAACGGCAATAAATCAAAATGACAAACTGTCAAACACTTAAAGTCAAAAGGGATAAAAGACAACTAAACAACAAAAAAGACAACTAAACATAAAAAGACATCTAAACATTCAAAAAGGTCAACTAAACAATCAAAAAGTGAAATAGACAAGGGCGTAAAATAAACAAAACATGAAAATTAATGTAAGTCAAATGTAACAGAACAGTTAGTTGAAAAAGATCAAAGTCAGACAGATAAAACTAGAAGCAACAGAGTAACAGAAAGACCCAAGCATATATTGGTAAATTATGCACATACTACACCTTTAAGTACGCTACAGAGAGATGCATCCGCTTACACATTAGGCTTAAAAAACAGCTGCGTTTATAAGAAGCTGATCCAAACTGCCAGACTTCCATATTCGATTGCTGTTGCTACATACATGTCGTTTAAAAACACGCAGGTATTATATGTATATAAATATATATATATATATATATATATATATATATATATATATATATATATATATCCATAAGGCACAACCAGAACATCAAGGGAGGTAATCAGAGAAGTTTTTCGTTCCTGTCCTTATGGCGCCTTGCACGACTCTGCCCCCTCCCTCCCAACCGTCTTGAGAAATCAACACCAGGGACCATGGTGTTCTATCGTCAAAGAGGCCTAGAGCATATGGGTAGGAAGGCACCATATGGCCAAAAATCCTCTTGCGCTAAGACATCTACCATCACTTGGAGGGCACTTCCGATCTAGATCCAAGATACCTCTGCATTTCCGGCGAAGTCATGAAGTCGCCGCCGATTGGCTGGGGCCCTACTGGCTAAGCGGAGGCGGCGGGGGGGGGGGGGGGGTTCGGTCCTAGCCCCCCGCCATTCTGGAAAAGCAAGTGATCAAAGACCCTCAGTGCATTCGTAAGCCCTAGAAAAGCTACGATTTCGGGGCAGGAAAGCTGTGCTTTGATTAATAGCCTACTGCACCTTTTTCCGTTTTTTCTTCTGACTTTTCAATATTCAACCTTAACTCTATTGACCCTTTGAACTTGCGTTTTAAGCTGTATCGCTTTTGACTTATTTTTGTCTTCTTAGTTTGTTGCATTTGACCTCTATTCTTTTGTGTTGCCATTTCACTTTTTTGTCCTTTCCACTTGTTTGGCATTTTACAGCTGACCTTTATTCCGTTTGGCTTCTTGCCATTTGACCTCATTGTCCTGGAACCGCATTTGTGGGGACGGGATCAAGCACCCTCCTCCACCTCAACGCTCTGGCATCTACCATGGCTGTTGTGTGGAGACCCACTAAAAAAAAACAAAAAAAGAACAGTGAGCTCGGTGGTGAAGGTGGTGGTGGTGAAAAAAGGTGAGTCTTGATAAGAGATGAACAACGCAGCTGCTCACCCGGCCAACAACTGGTGAAGACGGTTGAGCCAAAACTTGAGTCCGTATATTTCGAAGAAGAAATGAGCTTACCGTGATGCAGCTGTAGTCAAACGTCTTGCCAATTTTGTCTAGATGATATGACTGACAGGTGAAAGCCCGTACAAAAACTACTCTGGCCCTGATCCAGAGCTGTAATTAGCAAAGGCGTAGCCCCAGCATAATGGCGGCGGCTGCAGACCGCGGGCAGTGTCTCCGTGCTCACGTGGCGCCGGTGGCCGGCACCCGGCTCATGTCTGCCAAGTTCTCCAGGCCGAAGATGTTGCGCCGGAACAGCGCCGTGTGGGCGGGGAACATCTTGGTAGTGCCCGGATCCAGTAAGGCCGTGTCGATGCCGACACCGACGATGGCGTCGTCGGCGGCGATCATCTCAGCCGCCGCCGCGCCGATACCTGTCCGGCGCGAGCAGTGACGTCACGCGTGCACTACCAATCACGTCACGTGCGCACTGGCGCTTATGGTAGGCGTGGATTGTCACTGACATCATACATGCACTGGCATTGATGTCGTGCGCTAATTGACACTGACGTCAAGTCTGCACATGTCTGGCTCCATGCTCGCAGACTCCATGGCATGTAGCTTGTCATGTCTGCGGACACAGCGGCTTGTCATGTCTGCAGACACGGCCGCCCCACATAGTCGCTAGATGGCTCCTCAGTGCCACGTCTGCACCCGGGAGATGGTGGTGTAACATCTGCGGACGTGGGCCTCATAACGTCCAGATTATTGGCCTATACTAGCATGCTGGTATCATGTCCCTAGACAAGGATATGCAGGTGTCATGGCTTTGGGTGCGGCTGAAATAGTGCCTCGTGCCCAGATATGGGTAAAATACCATGACATCTGCACGTGAGGGCGTACTGACGTTATCAATTCAGACACGAGTGTAATGTCCCGGGTATTTAGGCACGTGTTTGCTGACCTTTTATCTGCAGACGAGGGCATACATCATGCATGCAATCAAAACTGGAACGACGCCATGCTAACAGACAACGGCGTGCTGACGTCATATCCGAGACACGGACATGCTTAACCCCTGAGCTCACGGCTGCGGGTACCCACTGACGTCACATCCGAGACACGGACATGCTCACAGCTTGAGCTTACGCCTACGGATACCAACTGACGTCACATCTGAGACACGGACATGCTCACAGCTTGAGCTTACGCCTACGGATACTGACGTTACACCCGGGGACACGATCAAAGAGGCAACTTAAGGGCGACCACGGTTTCGCTTTTCCCGTATTTTTACGTGCCGTACGATCAGGATCAGGAATTTACACGAGAGCTTCCAGCTGTGGTCAGGGCTTCTTAAGGCGGCTAGCCCTCCTTCCCCCCCCCCCCTCGTCCTGCCTCCACACTGACCAGGGAAGTGAAGGTCATGTCCATTCACTGCTTTCTGCGTCTTGAACTTCTCGGGCGTCACGCCCCAGTAGCGCGTGCTGTTGCCCCAGTGGTTAGCGTAGCCGGTGTACACCAGCAGGACGATGGGGTAGCGCCAGTTGCCGTGCGCCTCCTTCCAGGCGATCAGGTCGGCCGGGGTCAAGGTCGTGTCAGGGTCAGCATCACTCCGGGCGGAGATGTTGACCAGAGCCGCTGGAATAGTGGGCATCGGAGTGAAACAGAGCACCATAAAGGTGCTGGCGCGTTATGCTAATGACATGACAGCCCAACACATGGCGGAACCTATCTCGGTCCGCCACGTCGCGTGGTCACTGCAACTTAGGACGAAAAAGAGCCGTAAGGGTAAAATAAACGGCAACGACGCCATCGTCCAGCCATCTACTCACGAGTTCCGTGAACTCTGTTCTTTCCCCCGGAATCTAAATGGGGTCCCATTCTTGTCTGAGCCAGCGGCGCGGTAGGACCGTTCACACAGACAACAGTCCCAGCACAGAGCAGGCCTAAAACAAACAACACGAACAGTCCCAATGCATGGGCAACACAAACATGTTTCCGGCTTTACCTGCTGAAGTAAATAAATTGAAGCACACCAGCATCAGGTGATCGAGGTGGTTAGCGTTTTCAACACACTGTGCGTTTTCGGCGATCTTTATCATGGCAACACTGACATCGCCCAACTCCAGATTATCAGTTATAGTACGCGCAAGGTTCAACTGTGAACTATCGTTAATCTCAAAGCACCGCCAAGGAAGGACAAAGCACTACAGGCCTACTCACAGCGCGTCTGCTAGACGAGATGGCTGGACCTTACGCGAGGCATGCTAGAAGCAGCAGTCAAGCGGGGACTGCAGTGACGATTTGGAGAGGGGCAGCCCAGAGCCATCGAATTGGCCAGATCGTTACCAGTAAATACAGACCTGTATGCTAGATGAATTGACGTTACATTATTATACATCCAGAACATGATGAAAGATGGGATTCTAAAGGGGAAAATTCCAACTCCAGAAAACAACTCTATTACTTCGTTCTTGACCCATGCAAATGATACCACCGCCTTACGTGCTATGGTAATTCGAGTACAACTTAAGTGAGGGAATTTTTGAAAGAGCCCTTTTACTCCAGATATTGCGTAACCGTTTCAGTGTAAAGAGCGAAGGCTTGGAGAAGAAATGCACCAGACGAGCCAGAGGAAAGTGTTGTAACTTGCCACCCGTAAGGGTTTGAAAGAAACCAGAAGGGTTTGTTTGAGCCGGCACTTAAATGCAATGTTCTGGTGGGTACAGTGCATTTATTGGGATGGCACAGGTGCTCCCAACAAGCATGCGGATAGGAATGCTAAAAGAGAGGTGAGGATGACGAGTTGAACGCAACTTTGCATCACATATTCCCCAGAACAGTGTTGGACTTGGACCAGGTAGTCCAAAGCTCAGCATAAGAGGGGTTTAGAATCCGACGCTCGTCACTGCGGGCCACATTCTTTGTTATGTGGGAGCCGACCAACAGGTGATTTCCTAGGGGCTCCTGCCGGCGTCGTCTGTCGCTGATCGTGGGGCGAGAGCTCGACATGGCCTGCAGTTAATTCTCGCCTGCGATTGTATTGTACGAAACGTTGCAAATATGTTTAAGGAATTAATGGATTGCGTAGGACGATATATGACTTAATGTAGCTCCCAGCTATCATTTCTGAGCGCAGTTGCACCGTTCTGAAAAGCTAGTTATAACGAACAGCATGGTTTAAGCCGGCTTCTACGCAACCGGGGGAGACAAAGCATTCCAGGCCGTTAAAAAATCTCTGGGCCTTCGCAAAAGTGTCCGGAGATAGCACATGACCCTCACATGCTTACCGTGCGCCACAAACCGATCGATAGGGATCTGCTCCAGAGTCCAGGCGCCCCTGAAGAAATGCGCGGGCGCGTCCATGTGGGTGCCGCCATGCTCCGCGGTCTCGAAGTTGTGCATCTCCAGCCTGCCGAGGACGGCAGGGGACCGCACGTGAACGATCCGGTTTGGTTCAGGGCGTGCGAGGCGGGACGTGGTTACAGCGGCTGCGTGGCAGTGTCAGCCGACCGCGGACATGGCTCAGGACGGGTGCCGACCCCACGTCTTGGGCGGGACAGTCCAATGCTTTCGGGGCTGGGCAATAACACCGCCTCTCACACTTCACGCACGTGGAGCAGGCGCCACGCTTCACACGCGCGCAGGAGGCGCAACACTTGATGCACGTGAAGAAGGTGCCGCACTTCGCACACGTGGAGGAGGTGCCACACTTCACACACTTGGAAGAGGCGCCACACTTTGCACACGTGGAGGAGGTGCCACACTTCACACACTCCGAAGAGGCGCCACACTTTGCACACGTGGAGGAGGTGCCACACTTCACACACTTGGAAGAGGCGCCGCACTTTGCACACGTGGAGGAGGTGCCACACTTCACACACGTGGAGGAGGCGCAACACCTTACACATCCGGAAGAGGCATTGCCGGACGCTCAGGACTTGTATTGAAGAACTGTCCTTGGCTGTCCGGTGATGTGAGTGTTGCGGATGTAGTGGCATTACGTCCCACCGCACATGCCGCGCCCTACACTCGGGCACGAATGCGAGTTCTTGATGGTTTCGATAACTTTGCATGTCTATGGCCAATGATGAGAGGCCAAAATATCAGCATGCTTAATATCGAAATTGGCATGGCATATCGCAGCTTGCTGAATAGGCGACAGAAAATCGAGACACGGAGCATCGACAGGCGGAATATTTATTCGTAAATTTCCACATGTGCGAAATTCCCACATTTCGACGACAATTTCACTTATCGCCTATTGGACCGTTTGTCCGCCGCGCCATGTCAGCATCGGCAGCAGGTAAATGACAGCGACTGGGTTGTTCGACGGTAGGAAATGATCTAAGGGTGGAAATTTGTTGGACGAACATACCTCACTAGCAGATCTGCACTGGGGTGTGGAAGGCCACAACGTTCATATGTGTCATCCACCACCTTGTACCTGAGAAGGCGAACGCAGCCGCCAGACGAGGAATAAGCGGGCGTGTCCTGATCTCGACGCAACTATTTCTTAACGGCTCCGGCATGTTCAGGGTCGGAAGTATTGGCGTTTCGAACCTCGCAAAATCATGACAAGCTCTATCCATCCCATGTTCTGCTGCTGCTTTGAGCAAACGCACAAAATTGTTTTTCCAGCTGAGCAGTGATCCATCACCTCCACCTCCAGCCCCAAAAAAGAACTGACAAAGAGCAGAGGACACATTTCCAGACATTTCTTAGATTCGATTTGCCTTCGGAATGAGATACAGAGTCGTTTGAAACTCGGATAAATAAGGGTTTGCCCCACTCTCTTGAATTTTGCGTGACTGAGATTAAAATAAGATTTTATTCTGGTAAGCCCATCAAAAGCAGTAACCAAATATAGTACGGTTATTATTGAGCCAATTTCAGGTCATCAGCACCGATGAAGTTTCATACGGAATAATATGTCCAATGGCCGATGGCAATGAGCGGAAGTAACACGCAGAGCATCTCTTACAATCAATGGAAACTGACATGAATTGCCGGCACTACGCGTATCAGCTCATTTAACTTGCGCGTAGCCACAGCGCTGTGCAGGTAATCCCATTTCTACGCGTCCAAGAAAGACAAAGGTCTGCTAGAACCTAAACGATACAAATAAAAAACAGGGAAAAGGCCCAAAAAATAAATGTTTGAGCCATGTACGGTAGCGGAACAACCGAGTCTTTCACAGAAAGCCACAGTTCAAAAAATCGATTAATTTTATACTTAACTTTCTAACGTCTAGGCCAGCTTCTAACAACTAGCCAACTTTGGAATCGTGATTCCAGGCGCCAATCGTTTTGAGTAGGAATCGATTTAAATCATGCGCACTTCAATCAAAGTCATCTGGCAATCATCCTGCAAACAGCCGCCACACCATAACGGCTGCGCTAACTTGAGCACGAACCACTCACCAGTAGCCGTCCAACTGGCCCTTGAACACTTCACTCAGGTTGAACTTGAGTAAGCCCGGCCAGTACTGTGTGGCCTTGTCGTATGTGTGGCTGAGGTCGATCCACGGGCCGGCCGAGGCCGGACAGAGCAGGACCAGCAGGAGAAAGAAGCCGAGCAGAAGCCCGGCTTGACAGGCGGAGCTCATCTGTTGGCGGAGCAACCAGATCACTCACCACCATTCAGGGGCGTCACTTTATGTGACTCCGGGGTCCCTAGCCTCCCCAGTGGTGACACAGCTCCTCCGGTGGAGCTGTGCTACCTCCTGTAACGCAGCACCTCCTTTGGAGCTGTGTTACCACTGTTGCCAGTGGTAAAACAGTGTTACCAGCATACTTCCCTCGTGAAAACTTGGACAAGGAAATGTACAAAATATCCTTGAACTGCTGTTGCACTAGGTACCTGAAGATCTTGCTGTTGTATTTCCATGATCATTGTGTACCACATAGCAGGCTGTAGGTACTTGATTGCTTCTGTCATGCCGATTCCTTTATACGTTTGGTCAGTCTGAACATGCTCATAGGTTTTCATGAACTAATATGGACATTGGGAGATAGGATTGACTTCAATACGCGGCGAATTTGATAAAACATGTCCAGTTTTGGGGCATAAAGGTTTTATTAGGCTGAAAAAACATTTACCAAGGGCATCACAACCCGAGAAAAATATACGAACATTGCCAGTGCTCCAAATATTCTGAATCTCACCTCATGATATCCAATTTGGCACTTACCCGGTAGTATGCCAAGGCTTCTAAGCATTGGTGGTTGAGCCGAAAGGTTTCCTTGTTTTTATCCAGCTACTCCAGCTGTAGTGAGCCAGAATTCTCCGCCCGATCCGCAGCTTCGAAGGGCTAGGATTATCCGCCCGATCCGCAGCTTCGAAGGGCCGTGATTATCCCCCCGCTCCGAAGCTTCGAAGGGCCAGGATTATCCGCCCCTTCTTCAGCAGCTTTGGTACTATTCTTCGCCAGATAGCGCGGACAATGTGCGGCCACCCACCGGGACTCGAACTCGGATCTCTGGAATGCCGATCGAGAAAGCTCGGCGATAGCATGCTGGATCGGCATCCTAGGGATGTGGGTTCGGGTCCCGGTAAGTGAACCTAAGCATTACGCACTATGAGGCGAAGAATGTCGTGAAACTGCAGAACGACCAGCTAACTTTGGCCCACCAAAGCTGCAGCAGCTGAATAGAAATCGAAACAGCAAGGTGACCAGCTAAAAAGCTTCGCCGAAAACTTTCGCTGACACGTACCGAGTAAAAGCATAGAAAAATGATCCCCAGACAAAAAGCTGAATACAAAAGTCGAATGTAAATGGTTGAGTGGAAAGAGTCGACGGCGATAAAAGTGGACATAGGAAAACGGTCGAAGGGCAAAAAAACCGAAAGGGATGCAAGCCGATGGGGATAAAGGTCGAATCACAAGGAAATGTTCCACGTTTGAAAATGTTCAGGCAATCATCAGATATGATAAAAAGCTTATGACCGTTGGTATACTTTTAGGTGGAAACGAATGCTTTACACAACGCACTTTCTCTGTCTAGTAAATATGTTCCACAATACGCAATTGTCTGCGTGACGTTGTGGTGCAGCCAAACGAGCCGTGCGAAATTGCCACGTCGCGTATATTGAAACATTGGTTTAGTTAAACATGACCGCCTGAAAATACATCACAAGAGTGGTGCAATCAATTTAAAACCATTGCCTGACACACTAGGGGTGAATTACGGACCACACGTAGGCAAGAAGTCACCAGCAGCTGCGAGCGGTCAAATAAATCCACGGGATCATCACCGGTCTTTAAGCTGGAAAACAGCCGAGCACAGAGATATAGTTTCGCAAAATGGATAGAGGTGAGCAGCGTGCAATAATTCAACCTACCCCACAAAAACTACCAATAAATGGGTTCCTCGCCGGATTTGGACCTCTCTCTTCTCGAAGTTGTGGGGCAGTAACCAAGGTGGCGCTTCATCTCATTTGGTCCCTAAAAATCTGGTATATATATATATATATATATATATATATATATAGATGCTTGATTAAGAATAACTGCTGGTCCAGCATTGACGAGCTTTTTGATGCATCGTTCTTATTTCCGGGCCTTTGACTTGGCATCATCGCTTAGATTAAAGGTGGTTCGCACAAAATTACTCATATATTCATCGCTTCTTCCATTCAAATGTTTCGAGATCCTATCTCATCGCCGGGTAAGACTAAATGGCACAATAAATAAGTTTTGAATTTTAAAGGAAAAACAATTGTGCACCGGTGTTAGAAAACGTCTTTTGGTACGGAGAACAAAAATGAAGCATAACTAATTGAGGTAAGACAGAATCCTATCTTCACTTTGATACATATGATAAGCACTCATAATGGGAACACTACAAAGACACAATGAGAACACTATTGCTACAAAGACAATTAAACGGACGCTTCGCCAATAGTTCAAGTTCAAGTTCGCTCAAGTTCGCCCGCTCAAATTCAAGCTCAAGCTCAGCTGGGCGCGTCGTGAAGTCCAACGACAACAGCATGCTTATTGACGTGCAGTGAAAGCAAGTGAAAATAATCGCCGGTAGATTCAAGAAATTAAAGCAATTA